TTCGATGCACATTGCTTTGTACCATTGAAAGAATGAAAACATTCATGCCTGTTTTAAAAGACTATTGATTATTTCTTGAAAACCCGTCTTCACAACATAACATAATAACAATTGTTTTCTCAAATACATATACTACACAAATACAAAATTTATCTCACAACCACAAATCTGCATAATTAACCAAACAAATGCACCTTGATGTCCATTATTTAGAATCAAACAAAACAACTATTTAAGATAAACAATAGAATATGAAACAAAAACTAACCAAACAAGTAGTTAGAAACAAAATAAAAAACAAAAAATAAAAACAAAAAATAAAAATAAAAAACAAAAAACAAAAATTAACTTGAAAAATATGCATAGATTTTATTTATGACAAATTATCTTGTTATACCGTATATGCGGCATATATGTATGGTTCTTGAGAGAGAAACTAGTAGGTAAGTTAATGATGATGTTTAATTTGAATGTGAGTAAACAATATAGGGAAGACATAATTCAAAATAAGAGAGAACTGGAGAAGTTGAGAAGATACAGAAGTTTATAACTTAACCTGTAAGATTAATTTAAGTGAGAGGGGGACAAATATTTTGAAGGAGTAACAAAATTTTAAAATTCTATAATATTTTTTAAAAAATTAACACATACATAATATTAAAAAAAAAAATTGGGGGAGGCGGGCCAAGGCCCCCATGGAATACACCTGCCTCCGCCACTGCTTCAACAAAAAGTAACTTTGTTATTCAGTTTCATTTTGTATACACTGCAGTTTCAGTTCAACATAACTACAGTTTCATTTCGATATACCTACAGTTTCATTCGATATTTATAGACTCAAATATGTGAAAATGTTATTAAATTTTATTTTATATACACTATAGTTTTATTAAAACATAACTATATGATCATTTTGATATAATTACAGCTTCATTGTACAATATACACTCAAATATGTGAAACGTTATTTAGTTTCATTTTATATACACTGCAGTTTTATTTCACCACAACTACAGTATCATTTTGATATAACTGCAGTTTCATTTGACAATATAAAAATAATACGTGAGGCAGTGTCAATTTAGATATATTGTAGTGTCAGTTGGTAATTAACATACAAAAAAATGCGTGCTCCGATAACACTAATGGCGCGCCGTTTCTTTACTTAAAAAAAAGGCGTTGTTTACCTGCATAGACAGCTCAACTGGTCATAGAGGTGAAAGTTTGGAAGAATGACCAGGGACCGAGTCTCACCAGCGGCAGTGTGGAGCAACCTCTCAAAGTGAGGGGGTTCCTTGTGCGCAGTGAGCAAAGATCTAGCGCGCATCTGTGGTTCCATCCTCCCAAATGCTCTGAGTCAGGGTGTAGGAGACCCTTAGGATTGAGGTTTAGTCTTTGGAAGAAAAAAAAAAACGTCATTTTGACCGCAGTGCACGTACACCGCGATCCATGATATAACGACCCAATAATAATTGATATACTCGATCTCATTTTAAATGTCGCCATCTAATTATTGAGGTTTAGTCTTTGGAAGAAAAAAAAAAAAACGTCATTTTGACCGCAGTACACGTACACCGCGATCCATGATATAACGACCCAATAATAATTGATATACTCGATCTCATTTTAAATGTCGCCATCTAATTATTGGCTGGCTGCACCTAGACTTTTCCACGAGTATTTTGCGTGAATAGACAACTCAATTTTTTGCATGTTCAAATTAACCACTAATCTAATCACTAGTATTCAGTAATCATTCAATACAATAACAATAATCATTCTTCCAGAACCCCAACCCTAAGGGTCCCCTACACCCCGGCCCGACAGAGTATTTGGGAGGATGTAAATCATGGTGACTCAACTGAACATGAACCACAGAGGCTAGACCGGTGCTCACTACGCACAAGAAGCCCCCCTCACTTTGAGAGGTTGCTCCCACACTGCTGCTGGTGAGACTCAATCCTGATCATTCTTCCAAAGTTTTATCTCTATGACCAGTTGAGCTACCCACGTGGGCACAATAACAATAATCAGCTTTACTTTGTTGATGTGCAATGAATAATAATCAGCTTTTAATATGATTCATAATTTTTTAAAAAAATTTATTCTACTCAATTAATATAAGCCATGTGTAGAAAACAAAAACACGCTTGAATACAATTAATAGTTTCCTTCAATAACTCATCACGCTTTCATTTTCACTTAGACATCCTACCAAATGAAATAAATGGCATTTCAACAACCAAAAAAAAAAAAAAAAAAAACAAACAAACAAACAAACAACAACAATGTAGTACCCGATCGACCTCACTTAAAGTAGGATACAACATCATAGAATTTATTTTACACTTGAAGAACTCAAATCACGTACAAAACCAAACATATATATTATCAGTTAGCCCTTCTGCAATTCTTCCTGATCTCACCACTAGACCCGGTGAGAGGGCTAATATCGCCCATCTTGATCATGGCCTTCACAAAATCGGAGTCGAATGACGCCTGGTTTTGGCTGTATTTTTGAACGATGGAATCGGTGGATCCGCCATTGAAGAGCACTTGGTCGGAGTGGAGAAGTCCCTTCTTGGCAAGCAGGTTCTTGTAGTAGTTGTTGTCGAAGAAAGCCTGGGTTTTAAAGTCAAGAGGGGCTAAGTTGTTGTCCCCTGACCCTGTCTGGCTCGGACATGTTTGTTGTCTTGTCTTAGCGAAGGATGAGTCAATGTTGGTCTCGTTGTAAATTCGCCTCCTAAAAACTGTACACCTCGCTTTTCCAATTGTGTGTGCGCCTGTATATATATATATGTTTATCAAATATACCCTACTTTAGCAAATACATATTTATATGTGTTTGTTTGGTAAATGACTGATAGCTGATTTGGTTAATTAGAATGTGTAATTAGTTGATAACATTAGTTGATGGTAGAAAAGTGTTTAGTAGTTATTAGTTGTTAGCTGTTGAGTATAATTTCTTTTCTAAAAATACTAATTGAAAAAATTGTTTTGAGTAGCTTTTTGAATTTTTGAATTTCTGGAGCTACAAAAAAATTAATTAACCAAACACTTATTTTAATTTTTTTAACTAAGTCAAACAATTAATAGTGGTTAAATAAGTCAAAATTGGTTGATAAGCTAACTATTTTTACCAAACAAGACCATAGTGTTAGGATCAAGCACTTACCGCTACGCCAAAAACTATAACTATGATGCTGGACTTGGCCCTTATTGGCCTCCGCCCAACAATTCTCTGGCCTCTCAGCACCAGCTGTCCGTGACCGAGCTCTGATACCACTTGTTAGTATTAAATATTCACCACCACGTACGCTAAAAAATATCGCTGGAAGCGAAATGCAACTTTATTTTCTTATATCATCACACATTTTCGACAGCCAAGATGTTGAACTTGACTATTTACTGGCCTCCGCCCACCAATTCTTCTAGTCACGTTTTGCTGGACTTGGCCCTTACCGACCTCCGTCCGACACATAGTATGCACTTAATTTGTTGTTTTAACTAATGTTAACATAAATTTTTGTCGAACCTGATAAAGCAACCATATCCCTAGCAGAGAGACCTTTGTTTTGGAACCTTGTGATGAGATTGTTGAGCGTTGCTGTCGGAGGTGGGATTACACCGCTGTTGGCTGCAGACAGGCTGGCTGTTTTGGAGTCTCTCCTTCCGAGTTTCACATTCCAGTTTGGTCCTCCAAGCTGTAAGAAGAGAAAATATAATAAAACCATTGGCCCTTTGGGAGTAGTTATGTATAAAAGTAGTAATTAACTATGTGTACAGGGAGAAATAGCCTCATTGAATTGGGTTAAGGTATTACCAAAACAACCGAGTCACGAGCAGCAATAGTGACAATATCTGCACAAGACACAACGCCTGGACATACTTTTTCAACTGCCGATTTGATGCTGTCAATGACATTGAACCCCCTAACAGAATTGTTGTTAGGACCAGCAGTTTTTTCTCCAGTAAAGGAAGAGGTATCGTCTAGAAGAATGGATCCATCGCAACCCTGTTTAATCAAACAATATCTTGTCTCTTAAATACAAACTTTAATTTTTAATTATAATTCTTTCATAAAAAAAATTACTATTTTTAATTTAGTAGTACTCAACATAATAACATCTATGCCGATAATAAAAAGTAAACTGTTAAAAACCACTCACGTCACTCTCACTCAGTCACATCAAGCAAAATTCATATTTATAAGATCAAATAATTAAACTTTTTGTATACTATATAATATACTCCGTATAACATACAAGGCAAAAAAATAGTTTATGACCGGTGAAATACACACTTGATTCTGTTTGGTAAAATAGTTAGCCTAGGTCAATTTTGACTTATTTAACCACTATTAATTAGTTTTTGACTTGATTTAAAAATCAATATAAGTGTTTGGTTAATTAGCTTTTTTACTCTAAAATGCTAAAATTCAAAAAACTATTCAAAGCAAATAAGCAACTTTTTCAATTACCTTTTTGAGAAAAGATATTATACCAAACAGCTATCAGCTAACAGCTAATTTATCAAACACCTTTCTACAATCAGCTAATGTTATTAACTAGTTATACCCTCTAATTAACCCAATCAGCTAACAGCTATTGACTCTGTTTGGTAAAAAATTGGCCTATAAGCCAATTGTAGCTTATTTGTCCACTATTAATTGTTTGATTTTAGTTAAAATATCAATATAAGTGTTTGGTTAATTAGCTTTTTGCAACTCCAAAATGCTAAAATTCAAAAAGCTACTCCAAGCAACTTTTTCAATTAGCTTTTTCAGAAAAGAAATTATACCAAACAGCTATCCGCTAACAGCTAATTTACCAAACACGTTTCTACAACAACTAATGTTATCAACTAGTTATAATCTCGAATTAACACAATCGGCTAATAGCTAACATCTATTAACTAACCGCCATTTACCAAACATGTCCATTAACTAACAACCATTAAAATGGGGATCATGATAGAAAATAATGAAATATGTATATTACTTGGACAAAGCAATCATGGAAGTGGAGGCGAAGGAGCGAAGCACCCATACGCTTTTCCTTGTTGACTGCAGATTTTACGACTGATTTTACAGTAGCAAGCAACTTGGGACAACTCTTGGAGTAGAAATTGGTGGAGAGCTGCGCAGAAGTGCTACCCGACAACATGGAAATAACAAGAACAATCAAAACGACCATCATTCTTGCTCTTGTTGTCCAACAAGATGAAGAAAAAGAAGAAGAAGAAGAAGAAGAAAAAGCAACCATTGTACAAATCAAATGCAAACAAGGTTGTTTAGTAGATAATTAACGAGATAATAATGCGTGTGTGTGGAACACAATGGATAGACTAGTAGGTATATATAGTGATTAGTGAGAGGGGAAATTGATATTTTTTGGTTTAGCAAGAAGCAGCCATTAAGCTTTGCTACCTAATCCGATGGACTTTTGCATGTGATCACGGAAGACTTTTCTACGTCTAACCGTGAGGAGACAAAGTACGCCAACATAAGGTGACGATTTCCTAGCTACATAGTAATTCCAACTAAACTGGTCAGACTGTTAGCTTAATAATTACTCCTTACAAAGTTTTAAATTGAATTTCTTATAAGAGATAAACTGGTCAGAGTGTTAGCTTAATAATTACTCCTTACAAAGTTTTAAATTGAATTTCTTATAAGAGTTGTGGATTGGCCTTCACTACTGGAAATTCTGAAATTTTCGACCACCTGAAAGTTATCTTAAATCAAGTCAAAAGCCTTGTTCTGACCACTTTTAATATCCGAAAAAACCCTTGTTGCTATTTCTGACCATTTTTGACTTTCAATTGTTATAAGCAATTTAGGTTGGTTTTTTTTTTTTTTTTTTTTTTTTTTTTTTTTTTTTTTTTTTTTTTACTAAAGTCACAAGGAAATAATGCGGGTGTTGGTTTTGTGACCTAGGGTAGTCACTCGGCGGGCCAACATAACCGATCAAACGAGAAATAAAATGTAAAAATTAAATAGGGATGAGAATATTAACGTGGAAATCGAAAGGTAAAAACTACGAACCTTTTTGGGATGTGCCAAGCCAGAAATTCATTATTTTGTTTGTTGATGATTTTGTACATATTGTATTGGTGTGTTCTCTCGTGAGAGATGGAGCGGTCCTCAACTTGTTCCAGACTTCCCCTTTTAGAAGAGATGGGTAATCAGGGGTAATAATGAGATTTTATGGGTAATAAATGAAAGATAATGAGATTTAATGGGTGATAAATGAGAAATAATGGGTAATAATTGGAATATTTATGGGGCAATTAGTTGGAGGTTATAGAAAAATAATTAGGGGGTCAATACTAACATCAATTATACTGTGACCGCGGTCCACAAAACTTTGTGGATCGTGGTTCAAAAACGACAGACACTATAGTGTGTTTAAATGAAACTGTAGTTGTGTTGAAATGAAACTGCAGTGTATACAAAATGAAACTGAATAACAATTTCACATATTTGAATGTATATTGTCCAAAGAAACTGTAATTATATCAAAATAATATTGTAATTGTGTTGAAATGGAACTGCAGTGTATATTTGATATCTGGACCACAATGCATTGTGGACCACGGTCCATAGTATAATTTGCCAAATACTAACTTGTTCCCAAGTCCCATGTCTGACTGTTTGTTAGGTGGTACCCACTGGACATCCATCATTAAGCTTTCCTGTGAATCATTAAAAGATTTACTAATGTCAAAAGCAATCTCAACTGAATTGGTCTGACAATTAACTTAATAATTACAAAATTTTAAATTTAATTTTTTTTATAAAAACTATTTATTGGCCATAGCTTCTCAATATAAATCAATCAACTTTAAACAACTTAAACTAATTTCACCCAACGCTGGCAAATTATGCTGTGCATCCGTATGCACCAAGCATGGTGCATACGGATGCAAAAACGACGTCGTTTTTATAAAACGCGCGTCTCCCCTTAAAAAAAAAAAATTAGGTTCGAAATTATAATTCCATAATCGATGAACTATAATTCCATAATCGATGAACTATAATTCCATAATTGATGAACTATAATTCCATAATCTAATATATGAACTAAAATTTTCAGAATGAATGAACTAAAATTCCAGAATCTATGAACTAAAATTTCAGAATCGATGAACTATAATTCCAGAATCGATGAACTATAGTTCCATAATCGATGAACTATAATTCCATAATCCATGAACTAAAATTTCATAATGAATGAACAAAATAATGTTGTTACTAGGAATCAAACCTGAATTTTTTTTTTAAAGGAGAGACGCGCGTTTTTAATAAAACGACGTCGTTTTTGCATCTGTATGCACCATGCATGGTGCATACAGATGCACAGCATAACTATTCCCCAACGCCGAGGCGAGGCGACTTCCCGGGATGGCACCTTTTGATAGCGTGGGCTTTTCGATAAATTAAAGGATTTGCTAACTGTGTTGTAATAATTTAATTTTCATTTTGATAAAAGTCTAAAAACACGTTTTTCGTACGTAAGTTCAAATTAACTTAATTAAGGTTAGTTTGAAAGTTCCTCGTCACCATATATAATCATCATATAAATAAGAGCCGGAGAAAAGGATGCTACCTGCAGCCATCTAGCCAGCTAAGTTGTCATGCCAATTCAAAGTCTGCTAACATTATCCTGTACCAAATATACTATAAAAAAGTAGACCTTCAGAATTTGTGTAAATAAATTCGTTAATAAGTTAACACAATTATAAAGATTGGTTGAATCGGCCCTATGATCCGGAGAAGTTAAGACTGTCCTATTTGCTATGTTTTCTGAGAAGGCCCCGAGGCCGGTTGATATGAATTCGGGTTTTTATCAGCAATTTTGGGATATTGTGAGGACAGATGTCACTGATTTTGTTCTGGATTGTTTGAATTCGGGATCTTTACCAACTGGGCTTAATGAGTCGAATGTGGTGTTGATCCCTAAGAAACAGTCCCCGGAATTAGTAACTGACATGGCCGATTGCCCTTAATTAGTAATGTGGTGTATAAGATAATTGTCAAGGTTATTGCTAATCGGATGAAACCGTTGTTGGGTGATATTATATCTGTGTCGCAGAGTGCTTTTCTCCTAGGCAGACTTATCACGGATAATATTTTGGTTGCTGCTGAGGTGGGCATTTTTTGAATAGAAAGCAGTTGGGTCGTGTTGGGTGGGTGCGCTGAAGTTAGATATGACCAAAGCTTATGACAGAATGGAGTGGTCTTTTTTGAAGAAGATGCTTTTGGCCTTGGGTTTTCAGGGAGGTGGGTGAATCTGATTATGGAATGTGTCACAACTGTGTCTTATAATATAATGATTAATGGGGTTTATGGGGGGCAGTGAATCCCAACGCGGGGTCTCCGTCAAGGAGATCCTTTGTCTTCATATTCATTATTTGTGCGGAGGGATTATCTTTGTTGTTGCAGCAGGCCCAGGATAGAGGTGATTTCATGGTATAAGGGTGGCAAGGGGGAGGGGGGGGGGGGTCCCGCTCTCTCACATCTATTTTTTGTAAATGATAGTCTCCTTTTCTTTAAGGCAAATGTACAGGAAGCAGGGCGGTCAAAATGTGTCTTACATCTTATGAGGAACTTTCTGGCCAAACTATTAACTATCACAAATCAAACATTTACTTTAGCAAGAATACCCAGCTTGCAGATAGAAATTCAGTGACGGCTATGTTTGGAGTGCAGCAGGTAACAAATTTTGAAAATTATCTGGGTTTGCCGACCTTTGTTGGAAGGAATAAACGTGCTGTTTTTGCATATATTGAGGATAAGGTCGGGCAGAGAATAGGCTCATGGAATAAGAAATTTTTATCACGGGCAGGGAAGGAAATATTGTTAAAATTTGTGGCACAGGCCATGCCTACATTTACTATAAGTGTTTTCCTACTACTTTGACTCATTGTGTAAGAACCTGGAGCGGACTATGAACATGTTTTTGTGGGGGTAACGGGAGGGATGGTGGAGGAAGTCATTTTTACCCAAAACATACTTATTTTCCTTTGACTAAGGCATCATTTTCCATTGAACTCATTTTCCCCCTCTTGCTAAAACTCTGAAAACATTTTCTGGAAGTCATTTTCCGGGTTTCCAAACGCACCCCTAATGTTTTAGCACATTCGTTAGCTACCGCAGCCTACTCACAGGCAGACTCTATGGTGTGGGAGGATGTTCCTCCTGCGTTTGTTTCAGTTTTGATTGATTAATATACACAGCAGTTTTCTTTCAAAAAAAAAAAAAAAAAAGTTAACACAATTATAATAACTCTATATATGGATATAGCCCGTCAAAATTAATAGAGTTTTAAATACAAAAAAAACGAATACAATTTTTTAAAAAATTAATAAGATAGACATGTTTAATTAAAATAAGTTTCAAGTTTTAAATACAAAAAAAACGAATACAATTTTTTAAAAAATTAATAAGATAGACATGTTTAATTAAAATAAGTTTCAGATTCACGCAACAAGCTAGATAAACAACCTATTTAAGCTCATTAATAATATCAATATGAGTTTTAAAATAAAAAATAGAACTTCAAAAGTTACTGGCTCTATTACATTGTAGTGACCAATAACGCCTCCACTGAGGCTTGAACTCATAATCTTTCAAATGGAAGTCCAACCCGGATACCATTAGACCACATAGTCCTGGTAAATTGTCTACAATTAAATATTCATAAAATGATAAAATAACATCTAAAAATTGTAATTAATACTATGCTTGATGGATTAGACGGGTCCTTAATGAGTTAATTAAGTGAATTAATCCACTAAGACATGAAATTTGAAAGGTTCTTAACGAGTAGTTAATGACATGTGACACGTTAAAACTAAACACTAATTGATTTTTTTTTTTTTTTGTCAACTTCTGGATCATGCATGCTAATAATAAGTCATGTTAATTATAAGTCTATATAAAAGATATAAAAATAATATAATTAATTAACTTGAACGGTAAAATATATATGTATGAACATGGTAAACTTTGTGTTTATACTAACATAACTAAATCTCCAGTCTTTATTAGAGGTTAAAAATAAAGTGGTATAGTATATTGTAATCTTTTAATTTAAAGATTCTATATTTTTCATATGATGGATTGACTTTTGATAGGTGCTTAATTTTTTTACTATTATTCTATTAATTATAACTAAATCAACGCCGTTATGCAAGGGTTTCACGCGCGTAGCGTAGCTCGTGAGGAAAACATCCGTGAGGTATCTTCTACTACCATGAGGCTTCATCATGGCGTGATAAGGATGCATGAAGGAATCTTCTGCAAGGAGTGTTTTGCTATCATTCTTCCAAAAGGCTGAACCCCAACCCTAAGGGCCCCCCACACCCCGGCCCGACAGAGGTGTTTTGCTATC